TTTTTTTTTTTTTTTTTTTTTTTTTAATCCACAGGAAGAAGCAAAGAAATTTTCTCAAACAAGTAAAGTTATTAGATGGCCATTAGAGACAACTTTTGTCTGACTCTGCAGGGTAGTTGACCACATTAATGTAACAAAGAAACAGTGGATTCCTTACAGCTTAGCTCACTTTAAACAAAACTTATATGAATAGAGATAATAGTCATCATTTGTCTCCTTCTTGGCCTATTTTTATATTAAGGCAAGTCAGAGGTTTGAATGGATACATTTTTCATTTTAAAAGGTATAAACGAAAGAAGACTGCTGACAATTTGATTTCTTTCTCTGGAGTTATACGTGTCATTTTAACTTTTTGGCTCTCTACTTTCAAAGACTAATGAGATATATATTGTTATCTATACAATCTAAAACAAGATAGAACTTTTACGTTCCCATCTACAAAGTCATTCCCAAACAGAGCGTCAGTTTAAACACCTACTTAAAAAGAAGAATTAAAAAGAATTAATAAGTAATTTTACTTTTACTAACAAGTGCAGATGGCCTTGAGCCACAGAGGCTCAGCTCTACGTCTAGATGTAAATAGCTCCAAGATTCCCCAAATGTTACAAGGCAGATTCTGGGTCTTGCACATTTATGACACATGTCACTGGGACTCCATTCCGTATGCACATTTGCTGTCTTTAAACTGTTGATTTCTCTTTCATGTGGCAATCCAGTGTACTTAGAGCTGGATATTAATCTTCGATTGCATTTACTCGGCCTCAACCCGAGCAATATATTAATTCTGTTAACAGAGTAATACAACTTACAGTTTATGGCAGTCTTTCAAGACCGCCAAGACAAAAAAAAACCCCAACTGATTACTTTAATTCCCGTTATCATTTCCCAGTGGTCCCATTTTGAAATATTCAAGGCAGAATCATTATTGCCTAATTAAATATCTGTCATTCAATGTTTTCTTTTACAACAGAGACACAGTAGCACAGAAATGCAATTAATCTTAAACTAAGTTAGATATTCCAAGATTTATTATTGGCTCAGATAATTTACTGTAGCAAACATTGAGGATTTGGAAGTTTCTTATCTGAAGGTGTATGATATTCCGTAGCCTGAAATCCGATTACGTGTCAAAGTGTGCCATGCTGTACTTCACTGGCAAAGCACATGAAAGAGGCAGCACATGCAAGACACAGGAATACCAGTCAGGACATGAATAATACATAAAATGAGTGTTGCCATTTTTAATATTGAATCAGATCTAGAGTATGCAAAAATATGATTTTGCCTGATTATTCACCTCGATGCTACTTTTCCACAGACATCCAACAGAAACCTTATTAACCTCTTGCAACCAGCACTCTGAGTGCAATCACTAAAGACTCCTGCTGACATCTTCTTCTGCTATTTCTTTCGGCATGCTCCTCTCCTTGCTATATCCCTTCTGTTGTTTCTCCATGTAAGACGACCATGTGTCTTAAATGCTGATACAGTACTTGCACAAACACGATGGCTGTTGGACACTATCCTACCTGCTACCTGCCAACAACAATTTTCAGGTATTATTATTAATCTTGTAATTGGCTAGTGTCTAGTTAAAGCAGTTCTTTATTTAGTGCCATAACTACTTTCCAGGCCACTAAATAGGGTTAGAGTTAACTCCGAGAATACATATCAATATCTGGGTATAGATTGAGACTGTGCTAACAAGGCAAATAACCATTTATTGTGTTTTATTTTTTTAAATTATACATATTTAAAAGTAATTCTCTGGGCTGGAATTCACCTGTGCAAAGCAGTGTTTCTACTGAGCCCCACTAAATGATCTTTTATAACGCTGTGATGTTTTTCAGGAGAGTCTTCAGGTTGTGAAATTTCCCTTTCCCTGCAACAGCTGGTTCTCCTCTGGACACAGCTATAAATCACATCTGCAACACATTCGCAGTCTTATAACTGTTAACAGCCAGAGAAACTCTCTTTGTCCAACAAAATATTACCCACACCCTTGTTTTTCAGTGCTATAATTATTCTGGGTTAGATTTGCACTACCGTTCCAGGAGAAAAGAAGCAGTAAGAGTTCTTTAGACACAGCCTTAGGCTATTGGTCTGGGGCAGATAAATTATTACTTTAAAAGTATTTGCTCAATAATTTAAAAAAGGTGAAAAGAGGAAGAGGAGGAGAGAGGAAAGCCATAGTTCTGTTCTAGTCTATGCAGCTGGACCATGGAAAGAAGTGACCCCTAATCTGCCACTCCTTCTGCAACACTCTCCTTGGACTCTACAGTATCTGCTGGCTTTTCTATGAAAAGAGTTCAAAGTTGCAATGAGGTTCTGTATTTTGATTTTAAAGAATCAATCTGTTTATCTGCACTGCTGGTTTGGGTTTTTTACCTGTTCGAATATCATGATTAACACCTTCTACTGAAATAACAGCATTTGGGATTCCCTTTCCATGCACATCTTTTACTATGCCTTTGATGCCCCGATGGACCTATTGAGAGAACAAACAAAGAAATGAATATTGCACAGCAATGAACAGCACTATGATTGGGAAGATACAACAAATTATTAATTTCATATGTGCATTACACGTATTATATTCCTACTTTATGTTTCACACAATTTTGAAATATCATTATTAACCCAGTATCAGCCTTCCAGGCATTAGTTACTTGTGAAACAGCTTACAAATTTTGTCAGGATTCCTGAGGCATCAAATTCAAGACGTAGATAAAATGAGCAGATAAAGCAGCAGATATAAGGGTTTTTTTTCCTGGCAGTCCTTTCTGGCAAGCTCTACACTCACATCAGATTTAACAAGCTTCGTTATTTTCTTCTCCTAAATCAAAACAGCCTGGTTGAAGTGATATGCCACTATTGCTTGTAGGTGAGCTTTCTATCGCAAATACAGAATCACAGAATCATTGAGGTTGGAAAAGCCCTTGAAGCTCCTCCATGAACCTGACCCTGACCGTTCCCAACTCCCCCAGATCCCTCAGCGCTGGCTCAGCCCGACTCTTCAACCCCTCCAGGGATCCCGGGGACTCCCCCCTGCCCTGGGCAGCCCATTCCAACGCCCAACAGCCCCTTCTGCACAGAAATCCTTCCTCAGAGCCAGCCTGACCCTGCCCTGGGCAGCTTGAGGCCATTCCCTCGGGGCCTGGCGCTGGGGCCTTGGCTCCAGAGACTCATCCCCCCTCTCTGCCCCCTCCTGGCAGGGAGTTGCCGAGGGCCAGGAGGTCTCCCCTCAGCCTCCTCTTCTCCAGACTGAACCCCCCCAGTTCCCCCAGCCGCTCCCCAGCAGACCTGTGCTCCAGACCCTGCCCCAGCTCCGTTGCCCTTCTCTGGCCAC